CAACTCCACATTCACACATCACTCCAGTTCAGTCAGTCATTTACAAGTTCAAAACGAGAAAGTGCACAATACTCCCTTTTTTCACATCTAAAATATTATGAAATGCACTGAAAAATTAACTTGTAATTCTATCAGCTTAATAATTGAGTGAATGAGTTAGTAACTCTCAATTTTATTTCTTCTTGTTATCCATAAATTTATCTTGTTAGTACTAGAGAATAAGTAAATCTAACAGTAACTGTTTATTGGTAGTAAATGGAAATCAGCTAATAAACTTAATTTTCAAGAGTTGGTTTGATTAGTTACGTCGGTAAGAGAACCATCTGATGCTCACTAGCGACTGGCCTTATTCAGGATGGCAGTTACCTGGCTTCTACTAGGAATTCGTGACCAATGGGGTACAGCAGGACAGGTGCGAGAACAAATACTCACCAGTGACATTGGCCAGTGTTGGCGCTATATTGTGAATTGGCAGAAGTTGAAATTCATGAGCCATCGAACCGGGTTCCAGTGGCTTAATGATCTAAGATCTTGCCTTGTCCTGGGTTCGAGTCCTGGAGAGTGAGTTCTTATGAAGAGACCCAAACTAGAGCGAGATGGCTGCTCAATACTCCCAGGTTTTCCACTGCTTCTCTAACCAATGTTAGCTCATCATGAAAATCTTGAAACTTGATTTTGGCTGGCGCTGATGATGGCGATAGTCACATTGGTGTAGGTATCAGTGTACAATGTAAATCCAACCTCATGTATTACGATGATACTATTGATCATCATAGACTCAAAAACCATTTCACATACTTTCGATTAACATTGAATAATATAATCCACTGGTCATCAACAAAGACTACTGATTATATCAGCGTGATTCGGAAATTCACCCTCTGACTAACTGTTAACAATGGTTTGATAGTGAATAATTTCCATTTTGATTATTAAATATGTCTTCTTTCTATATCATGGCTCATTAGCCTAGTGGATAACGGTTTGTTGTTTGAAACTATGAATGCTGAGTTAAGGACTCAGTAGAAACGCCATCACTTGCTTGGGAGGAAGCATGTACATCAAAATGACGAGTCCTAGATTAGATGAAACTTGCATCATCAATTCAGCTGCTAATCAACATCAATGTGCATCGGTGGCACAGCGGTTAAGACTCTCGCCGACCATGCACATGGTCCGAGGTTCCATCCCCTGCCGACACACACCTGATATCAATGGTTGGCCTGCAAAATTTGGGCTACCGACATCACATGCTGAAAATTCCATAGTTGTACCAAAAATACTGTGTGGAATCAAGCTATAATCAAAAAATTAACAATAAATTATGTCTTCTTTCTCTTGATAAAAAGTACTCTAAAATCCCGTTGAATGCTAATACAAACGTATGTACAAAATTTTTATTTTCTATATAATTCCTGTCGTACCTTGTGTAGTATTCCATGGAAAACTGTATCCAGGTTAATAAACACTGAATTATCTATAGAAAAATATTTACATTGAATGAACGATTTGAATAGAGGATGTATCAACCAACAGGCTGATAGTTAGTAATTTTGACTACTGAAAGACATCCTGCCAACTACTTGACAGTTTTTTTTCTAGTTTTTGTTTGAAATGATCATACGTCAAAAGCTAGGACACTTTTGGTAACTTTTCATTTAGACTATACATCTAAATAATGATTGGAATATATTGTACAAGATAAACCACCGCATTTGACCACTTCTATGAGTATTTATCAATTTACTTGCTCATGTGGTGTACTCAGTTGGTATATTTTTGAAAGAGGTTAATTAAGGTATATCCTGTTGTCATACTTGCATAATATCTGATCATTAAATCTTCCTGGCATTCATTTGAAGTAAAATATGGGAAGTGTTATAGACTGCATTATTCCATATTACATAAGTTTATTTGATATATCACATAATGATGTGACAATAACAACTGAATGACGTTCCGATCCCAGTTTATTGCTCATAATCTTGATGTTCCAGTTATTAATGCTAGATGGCTACAGGAAACCATGGATCTGGCGTTTATGCGTGTTGGCGCTCAGCGTAGTGTATTTACAACCTAGAAAGAACTGATATCCCTCCTGAGATTCATACCGGCAATTAGAAAGTCACTGATGAGGTATCTTAGCTCTTGATTGCTCTATTTTAGGACCGTAGTGGATTTGTTTCCTAGGGAATAACCAGTATCATAAGTTATGTCCTTGGAGTTGGTGCTGAGCGTATTCTACCAACTAAGCTTGGTGACCACATTATAAACTTAAATGATAGAAATCAGTTCGCATAAACACCAAGGACGCGACACTGGTTACACCCTAGCGACTATTAAATAAGTAATTCGAATAATATTTCATTGGATGATCAATTTCAGCGTAATTAAATTACTGCCTGCAGTCACATGCATAAAACTCTAAATGGTTTTCATTGTATAAATGGTGAAAAACACGACGTAGTTGTGATAAAAAAAGGATTATAAACATGATAGAAAGTGGCTAACACTGGTTTAAACAAGAGTCAGCGATTTACACCACTGGCCTATATGCCATAAATTGATTGCAAAAAGATTGATGCCCGAAACTGGACAAATAATAACATCAATTTAATAGTTGTTCCCACAAGCAGAGAAGATTCGTGTCCTCTGAGTTTTCTATGGCCTTAGTACAGTAATATAAGTTGAGGGAGATCAGTCATACTTAGTCTTCAATAATAATAATAATGGTTCTATCAATGATAAGGATGAAAAAGTGAGGCGATCTGTGATAACACGAATAACGAAAAACAGCATGATTAAACCAACAAATTTTCAGGTAGAAGTAGTCGATAAAGACTAAGAAAACAAATGAACCGATTGCGTAATGCTAGATTGTAAGGGAAGTAAATGAGACACGTTTTTAACGAAGATGTGATAAGATTAAGAGATGATAAGAGAGGGGTTGAAAATATAAGTAAGGGGTGGTGTAGAAGTCATCAGTTGGTTATGTCTTAATAGGCCAAGGGAGGGATAATGGCTGTACGAACTTCTTTTGAATGCATAGTTTAGGTTTAATAGTTGTAACTTAATAAATAGAGGTTCTTTACATGCATTCATAGTCTCATGTTTTATCTCTGATGTTTTCATATGTTTCTTTATGAAACTACTCGGGTAGCACATCTCCGTCAAGGTATCGTGAATCGAGAGCTTTCAAAGTAATACATCGTATCCCACCGAATCTTTCCAATAGACTTCATATTTATACTACTGCACACAGCTGAGGTGATAGGCATTTGAACTATTAAACCTAAACTATGCATTCAAAAGAAGTTCGTACAGCCATTATCCCTCCCTTGGCCTATTAAGACATGATGTCTTCTCCACCACCTCTTACTTATATTTTCAACTCCTCTCTTATCATCTCTTAATCTTATCACATCTTCATTAAAAACGTGTTTCATTTACTTCCCTTACAATCTAGCATTACGCAATCGGTTCATTTATTTTTCTTAGCCTTTATCGACTACTTCTACCTGAAAATTTGTTGGTTTAATCATGCTGTTTTTCGTTGTTCGTGTTATCACAGATCGCCCTCGTTATGATAGAACCATTATTATTATTATTATTACTGTTGTGACTAATTGCACACTTTATATTCACCATCTTATTATCCTTTAGACAAAACATCATGATTGGTTTATATTTGAATTTTTATTTGTAAAGTTATGTAGGCATATTAGAGCTAAGTCTGAAAACAATATTGTTCGCTTACATCTTTTGTTTAATTGAATTACCTTGCGTCAAGCGCGAAATCTAGCTCTGCTATGATCTCCATACACAATAAAATCTAAATTAAAATTTTTGTTTTAATATTCTAAAATCTGAGTTTCAAAATCAAATATTAACATTTCATAATTGAGTTTGTTTAGATTTTAATTTTTGAGTATATCAGTCAATCAACATCAGTTCTGCTTGCAGAATTGTATAAAAGAATAGTGGACTTTCATCAGTAAATTTAATTTGGTGGAAGGAGACAAGCAGTGATATCCAGAGTTCATATTTTGCCCTATTTGAGACTCTTCGAGTGGATGTATCTATATCTCCAGTGAGTGATGGTGTTTACACTGAGACAAGAACACAACACCCATCATTTCAAACCCAAAAGAATTTTCCTGAAGACCACTCGGGTCATGAGAACAACCTCTTCTGTATAAGGTATCAGTTATTATTCATTGATATTGATTTCGTGTTTTTTTGCTAATTGGTTATACTGAACAAAGCAGTCTAGTGGACAACTCTTTCGCGTTTGAAACATTGGCCGTTGGGTGCGATTCTCAGAAGGAACACGATCACTCAATGGGAATGCATATACGGCCAGGTGACCAGTCACAAATAGGACTAAATGAGCATTCTAGATTCCACTGCTAGTCACCATCAACCCAAATAACACCATGTTTAACTTCAGACAGCGTAGAAGCCCATATGTCAATGGAAACCAGTCATTTCAATCACATATAATCATTCAAACACAGAATTAACTGAAAAAATGGAGATGGATGCTGCTAAATATAAAGATTCGGTAAATAATAATTTCTGCATGCACCAGTTCATTGTACTCGCATTAGCGTTAATGAAATGTAGCTAAATACGATGGAAGATCAAGCATTCAGCATTTGTCCCATAAATACTGTTACCCCTTTTAGAAAATGTCGGATAGTTGATGTAAATGTGGAAAATTTCCTCTTGATCTAGTCAACAATGAACATAACCGGATAAAGCTGTATCTAGCTGTGTAGTGCAGACTGACATTAGTTTAGTAAGACATGCATTTCATCATATTCGCCAAAGCTTTTTCTTCATTAAATTGTGTGAGAAGCTAAGTGGACTGCTAATTCAGCATGTGTATTGATCTTTTTTGTGTAATCTATACGTTTATTGGCTGTCCGCTTCAGCCAATCAAACGACAGACATTTATATTCGGTTGATTTCATTCAAATTTCTCAAGCTGCTTATAAATGACGGAGCACGTTAGGAAATTTTCGAGGCTAGTTGATAACTTCGGCAGAATTCATGATTATTTACGTATTTCTTTAACAGAGAAATGTAATTTAAAATGTAAGTCAAAGAATAATAATGGAATAAAAAACTATCCTCATTGGATATATGTGAAGGCTTGTACTGTATGCCAGATGGTTATATGCATAAAAATAAAAATTCTGCAAACATGATTCAATCAAAGGAAATTATATTTCTTGCTGATTATTTCTGCCGCCGTGGTGTACGGAAAATCCGACTAACTGGTGGTGAACCATCCATGCGACCAGATTTACTTCAAATTATAAGTGTGTAATTCAAAATTTCAAAACCTACTTTTCTAAAATATAAGAATCTTTAAATTATTTAAAATGTGAACACAAACACTTCACTGAAATAGGCATGACCACAAATGGAGTAAAGTTTAAGCGAAACGCTGTGGCACTGAAAGAGAGTGGATTGAATTCTGTCAATATTAGTTTGGATAGTTTAAAATCTGAACGAGTATTAAATTTAACTGGACAAGCTACATTCAAGCATTCAATGGCTGCTATAATAAAAGCAGTTGAAACTGGATTTGAAAGGGTTAAGGTAAGTAATTTATATATATATATATATATATATATATATATATATATATATATGGGTAACATATCCAACGTGATCAAATAATTTTGAAACAGTATGACTCAATGATGAATTGACCTTTACCAGATACTGTAGGTTATCGTAAAATGGAATATCAATCTATCTACCTAATCTTCTTAATCCTATTCAGATAACTGTTTGTAGGTATAAGCAGTGTTACTATGAAATGAACTTTTCTTATTCGTGTTGTAATTATACGGGGAATTAGGATATTAAAAAGCTTTGAATGATCGACATTGTACAACTACTCAAGCACCTCGTTTTGTATTCCTAAACTTAGACTTAAGCATTTGTAACTGCATGTTTAGGAGTTCTTTTCATTCATTGAATCAATAACTACAGAGCTACTATGCTTTTATATTCATTGAAATTCCTCGAGTTTCACAGTAAAGTGCAGTATGTATCTCTGGAAGACTAGTTAGTTAGGCTGCTTGAACTACTTCCAGTTCGTATTCTTGTTGGCCTCAACTAGAAATAACATTCATAATTGTTGTGTGGTTAGATACGCTGCTAAACCTGCACTTTAGCTACATACTTTGCCGATTCATTAACCTGGACCACCTAGTCTGGAGGCCAAGCCACTGCTTACACCGCCCCAACTAGTTAAGGAAGAATATAATACTTACGGCTGTTCAGAGATAAATCTGTTAGCGATTGTATGGAAAGAATATGGGGAATATATAATCACACCACACCAAAGCAACCATGCTCCTCAATGTGTCTTAGTTGCACCCCATCAGTACAGATAAACAAATTGATCTCTGAAGGTGAAAGGTCTGAAACTCATTTGAATTCACCAGCTTCTTTGATCCCATACATATTTAAGGCTGGGAAGTTCACTAGTCTAAAGTATTAACTATGCAAAGAATATCCTGTATACCACTGATACTTTTGGTTTTCTCTATTGAAATATAGTACAATGCGACGCTGGGTTTGTATATCTCACTTGAAATAGGCACGTCCAACATTAATTGTTGAAATGGGATAATCTTTATGAGTAGGACGGGATGGGTGATGTGATTTTAAATACGTTTAAAAAAAATACTTAATCTACTAATATGGGAAGAAATATTGTATTTTAAAAGCCTACCCTTTGTTTTACTTTGGCGGATTGTTTACAATTCCAACCCTTTCAGGGTTTTAAAAACAACATCAAGGAGTATTTTGGAAGTAATTATACTTCACACTATGATTTTACGAACATGTGGCGAAAGCTTCATGACTTCATGTGTTAGTCATATTGAATGCCACATAGTCAGAAAGAATAAACAAAATGGAGCTCTAGCAGCAAACCAGCCAAAATATATGGAAGAAAATGGTGGTGGATTCGGCTGGCACTCATGGAACCAGCTAGAAGTGATTGCAGAGAACCTAGTGCAATTGAAATAGGTCATTAAAACCCTATGTTTCGTTCGAGGCGCTAAGAATGACTAATTAATAGTGGGTTAGTGGTTAAAACTGTAATTAATTTTGGGCAGAATATACAGTCTGAGAGTCATCAAGTGAGTGCTATTCACCTAGCATATATATGTATATTTATATATGGTGACATAAAGTGAAGATATTCCAGTTTGATGTAATCCAGCTTATCTTTAATTCACCTGACTTTACAAGTTATGACTTCTAGTCAGTAGAAAAATCAAGGAAATTCCACTTGTAATTTAATTCCATGCTTTTAATATCCCCTCATGTCACCGGTGTTGTTTGATTTTGTGAGAAATTGATAAACTTTAATGACTATACTACATATGTAAATAGAAAATTCATACACATTACAAATTAAATTTTCAAGTAGTTTGTTTGTTTTTTTGTCAAGCAAATTGTATTTGTTTGAAGTAAGGTTTTTACCCAAAACATTTGTTTTTAAATTAGCTGTGCATAACTATTTCTTGTAATGTGCCTTTGGTTCAGAGGTAGAACCTCCCCTTGATTGATTCTACTGGATGAAAATACAACAATACCAAGGGAAACCTACTGCACAACAGGTGGTTCTCGTAGCCTAGCCACCTAGCGGAAACTCTTTGGCATCCGAAACTATAGATGTTAGGTTTTAGTACCATTGAGAACAGTGTCATTCAGTGAGGGGTACAGTTACTTCCAGCCGGTATGTTCACAGTACAATCAAGTGGTGAGTCCTAGATTCCGCTGCTAACAGCCCACCTGCCAAACAACATTCAGGGTATTTAAGTCTAATTTCCTGACAAAAAAATAACAGTGATTACCGTTTGGGACTCCTAAAATTTGGCAGCATCTGTATTGAAATAGTCCACCTGTTTCGAAGGAACCACTTAGCAATATGATATTTTATCTTCTTTACGAAGTAGTTATGAATATAAATCTGCTAACAGTTTTTGAAAGACCTTAGTTGAGCATTTAAAAAAATCTTTACTTGATGACTAACGATTGAAATCTTGTAGATGCACACTAATGAAGAGTTTGAGACCACGATTTTCGGTCTAGATGTCTATCAGTTGGTAATGAAATCTAGTCTAAATTTTACCCGATCTTCAAACATCTCGGGATTTAAAAAGAATCTGCTCCAGTTGCATTATACTTAGCGTTTTTTTATTACAGATGACTACTAACATAACCAGTAATCAGTCAGAGTTTTCAGTCCATGGCATCCACATAGAAACTCCTATTCATAGCATCTCATTGTGTTTGCTTTTTCGAAGAATACTGTTATTGATAGTAGTGTGGTGAGAGACGGTTGCTAGCCAAATTGGTTGACAGTAATTTACGTCAATATCAAATCACGCCTGACTTTATGGATCTGGTGAATGAGTTCTATGAAGACCGAGTAAATTTATATTGTTAAGTAGGGTTAACGTTTGGTTTAAGGTTAGGGATAGGCTAAAAAGCAAAGTCAGGAATACCAATAGAGTGATAGTAGTAGCAGTGTAACGACAGAAGACAAGGGCCAGGCAACAGATCGTTTATTGAGAAAATCAAGAGATATTTATAGATTTTTATGTACATTATTGTCAGCGAAGAAGCAACGTCTTCTGATTGGTTGTTTTCTTGCTGAAGGTTATTCTGTACTGCTTGTTACCGTTTCTTTGAAAGTTAAGCCAGATATCTGCGAATCGTATTTGCATACGTCAAGTCTGCTGTGAGTGGTTGGTGAGTTCCTCAAGGTTAAGCTCTGTTACTGTTTTTTCTCATGACCCCGATTCGGGACGTAAAAATTCACGTAAATTGTTGTCTACAATTTCGGCTTGCAGACAGCTCTCACCACAGTAGTAGTAAAATATACAATCATTGGATAAATACATCTGTCGTGCATCGTATGATTTCTCTATGGAGTCTCCTTGAAGTTGTTGGGGGAAGTTCTCACGATACGTAAAAGACAGTTGTAAGACATTATTTAGCAATTAGACCATTTTTCCATCTTAATTCTGATTAGTTCTTCAAGATCACTGTGATTTTGTCCACGTTAGTATAATTTCACCCAAAAAATGATAAAATCTATCACTAAAAATCAGGATTTACAGTCTTTAACTTGAGGCTGGATAGTAGATTTCAGTAAGTTATCAGGTTATGCGTTCGTATTTTATTATATTGTGGTGAAAGCTGGCTGCTAGCCAAAGGTGGTAGGCAGTAATTGACGTCAATGTTTATGTCCCCAATATTGATGGTGAGAAAATGAGAACAAAGGCTTTGCGTAGGCGGATACAGTTAGCATATGGATGATCTGACACAGCCACAAAGAGTGCAAGGTTAACTTTCTGTGAGAAACAACCAATCAAAAGACTGTATTTCTACTAACAATAATCTACAATAATGTACATTAAAATCTATAAATACATGTTGGTTTTCCGTAATAAACGTTCTGTTGCCTGGCCCTTGTCTTCTGTTGTTACAGTAGTAGTGTTGCAAATTACGTATTCCCTTTAATTTTTATTTTACAGGTTAACTGTGTCGTGATGAGAAATTTCAATGATGACGAATTATGCAACTTTGTTGAATTAACACGATATTTAGTAAGTTCTCTTAGTGAATTTCAATTTGTTTAAATCAGTCAGTGGATTAGAAAATGGCATAGTGTTCACATTTTTAGTTGCAATTTCTTAATTAATAGTTATTTAAAATAAAGATAAAGCCACTTGTTCATGTTAGTTTTGTGCATCCTGAAATCATTTTTTTCTGTTGAGATGTTGGCACTAGAAGTGACCCTCATACTCAGTGGACCAACAGGAAATGTTTTGCCGTTTGAAACGATGAATGTTGGGTTCATAATTTCAGTGGGGACACCATCACTCACTGAGGATGCAGTTGCATCCAGACGACAAGTCTCAAATAGGACAAAATGTCCACTCTAGATTCCACTCCGACTTACTACAAAAATGAAACCAGTACAAAATAAGTACAACAGTATCCTTCCATAGTATCATAGTTTAATTGGGAAGTAGAACAGAACAGAAGAAGCCAAACAAAGTAAACGTTTTAAATAGGTACGTAGATTTAAAAAAATTTTTTTAATAGTTTTCCACACAGCATTTTCGGTACAACTATGGAATTTTCAGCAAGTGATATCGGTAGCCCAAATTTAGCAGGCCGACCATTAATATCAGGTGTGCGGCGGCCAGGGATCGAACCCCGGACCATGTGCATGGTCGTCTAGCGTCCTAACCACTGTGCCACCGACGCACATTCAGTTGACTTTTGTAAGTACATTTCAAAACAGCTTGATCATTCCATAATCAGTTATGATCTAATTTGCTCACTAGTTATTTAAATCGGGGCATGAAAGTAGACATATTTATAACTTTCAAATTTACCAGCTGACTAAGAAGCCTCATGTTTTGCTTTGCTTTACTTAGACAATATTTCAAAATTTCCCAAATGCTCTTTTTTAGTGTGAAAAGTCTTGCTTCACATAGTTAATATTTCATTATATGTCACTGAATGAAAAGATAATTGTCTGCTTATATTATTGAAACAGCTCTCTTGCATTGCGATTATGAGTTTTGAAGAAGCTTGGATTAATTCTAATCTAAACCTCATCACGAATTATCACGGGAACCATTCAGTACCGAAGAACACTTAACAGCTGTTTCACTGTCGTTTTAGACCCTTCAACAATGCGCATTAACGCCCTTCACCGGAGGTTGAACCTGGGACATTCAGCTTACGACGCCAGGCTTGTTGACCATTCAGCCAATTGGGCTAGAATCCAGTGACCCGTGAATTCTAACTTTATCAGTTCATAATATGGCGCTACCATGAACCAATACTACCGATGAGGATCCACTTCACCTTAAAATGATAAACTCCACTGGCCAAAACTTCTGGGTACATCTTAAGGACACTCATCCAGTAGCCATCCATGAGCTGGAGGTTGATATTTAGATTGTGGATTTTGTAGGGGCATAGATTAATTTCAATGTAGATTCTGTCACCCATCAAAATTAGTTAGAGAATAATTTAAAACCAAAGAGTACTGAACAGCTGCTTCGTTATGGTTTGTCGCTTTTCAGTACTGCAGTCACTACTGTGACCCAATGAAAGCCTATTTAGTCACTTATGAATACGTGAACTCCATGGTTATCACATGTGTTGCTAATGTTTTATTTTATTTCACTTTACATGGATATTTTGCTACATCATCATATGGGTATGTTATTGACTTTGATACTCAGTGGCTGTTGAAACTATTTCTAACCAAGAGAAAATAAGTAGATATTAATCCATGAACTAGGGAGCATGAAAACTTTGTATATCATAGAAGTTAAAGTGACTCACCATCATGAACCGAGTTTATATGCTAGAAAGGAAGTAGTAGTCTCTTCTCGGAACTTTTCATTGTAAACAGTCTATGATTATCAAGCTAATGTCTTGATGATATTAGATTGTTGGAGGCAATCGACAGGAAGCCCATCCTGACCTAGGTTTCGTGCTAGTTGGCACTCACCAGTCAGCAAGGCATAGTATCTGCAACCTTGAAGGAACTCATGTCCCTTCTGAGATTCGAACACGCGTCACCCAGTGCCGCCTTCAGTCAGAGACGTTACCACTGAGCTATTTGGGCTCGCGATTGACCTCCTGTAGGACTGTAGTGGGTATTTGATTGGACACTAGTAACTATTATGATTTGTCTAGCCTTAATGACGAGTGCCGACTAGCACGATACCTAGGTCCAAGGCTGCCTGCCAATCGCCTCCAACCATCTAACAACATTAAGTCAATTTTCACCGTGATGGCAAGCCACATAGAATGGTGGCCACACTGCCAAAGTGACTGATAGAATTCAGTCTGCACCAAACAAAGGACTAGACACATCACACCAGTAATACTAGTGTCCAATCAAAGCTAATGTCTTATCATCAAAAATCCAGGTGTACAACATGGACACTTTAAGAAAGTGGATCTCTGTATTAGTCTGTTTACTTAATGTTGGACAAGGCCATATGATTATGAACAGTAAACATTGCCTAGAATATCATCGAGTAATTGAATACTATGTCACTACATCAAATAAACAAATAAACATGAAATTTTCATCATAGATAATATTATTTTCGATATTGCTCAATCACCAGTCATATGATTCTATTAATTTTGGATCATTATCAAGTCTCTCTCTGTGTTTATTCTCTTATCTGTTACGCTCGAAATAGTTTGATTTGTCTTTAATGTCTACGATTTACTCAACATTTCATAGAATTACAATTACTGTATTTATTATTACTATTGATTATCTTATCGCTGTGATGGCTTAATCTTGTCTTCAAGTGAAGTCATCCCCCTCCATTCAGCTGATAACAAGCTGTTTACAACGAATTGATACTGCTCTTTTCTCTAGACTAATAGTGTCCATAAATACTTATTAGGACGCTTAAACACATTAAGATGATCACCCTTGAAATCAACTCAACTGAAACCTAATTCGTGCAAACGGCTTTACAAAACAGAGTTAATCACGCTATCACATCTCTGTGCAGTTCTACTTAACCTACTTTAACTATTCAGCATTGTGTTCTCTTGTTCAAGAACGGTGGAGACAGTTTACTGTCTGCATTAACTAAGGTATTAGGCAGCGTTTGGGAATCAAAGGGAGTCCCGCTGGGCTGGTGTAAGTCATTGATTATCTCGATATACAAGAAGGGAGACAAGTCTTCCTGCGATAATTAGCCTGACTAATTTAGTATCCAAAAGTGTAGGCTCAACAGTCAGGCATAGATTAAGGGATGCTCAGAAGAAAAGAAACACGAGAGAACCAGGCAGCCTTTAGACCAGGAAGAGGGTGTATCGATCATATATTCACCCTTCGACAGATTCTGGAACATAGGCATACTTACAGGGGTCCAACAGTCGTTATATTTCTTGACCTGAAAGCGGCATTCGATTCCGTCGACCGAAAGGTACTCTGGCGATGCTTGACTGTAAAAGGGAATGCTGAGGAAATACATTGCACTGATCAAGGTACTCTACGCGAACTCATGCAGTCAGCCAGGTGATGTCCATCAGGGACGCCCATTGTTCCCATTTCTGTTTAATTTCATCAAAGATGTTCTAATGGACTTAACACTAACTGGTTTCAGTGACTCAGGGAATAACTTTTTACCAGGGTATAAACTCGTTGACTTAGAACATGCAGATGATTTAGTCCTTCTAGGTGAAGACGCTAACAAAATGTAGAGTCTTCAGAACACCTTCAGCAGCAATCTTCGGATATTTCGCATGCGATTCGCTCCCGCAAATGTGCAATGATGCTACAGGACTGGACTTCATTGACTCCTAGCTTAGAGATAAGAGCATGTTGACTACTTTACTTATCTGGGAAGTTACATCAGTCCCGAGTTGATCGCTGACGAAATCCCAACATGGATACAGATGACTCGTTTGGTATATACCAAATAACGCCTTCTCTGTAGTAGACGCGATATCTGGCTGTCGACCAAAGGATGTATGTACTGCTTAGCAGTTCTCTCTGTCCTTCTTTTTGTCCGACTCTGAGACATGGCCATTGAAAGTGGAAGATGTGAAAAGGCCAACTGTCTTTGATCATAGGTACCTGCGTTCCATCTCCTGTGTTAGGTGGTATAACAAGTTCAGCAATATTGATATCGGGCGTCGAGTGCTAGGTAAAGAGGGGGAATCAATAGACGAAGTTGCGAAGTTGCATCAACCCAGAGGGTTAGGACATGTGTTAAGGATGCCTAGCCACCTTCTTCCTCAACAATGGGTAATGTTAGCTGCTGACATAGGATCGACGAAGTTGGAAAAGAGCTAGTGGTGGTCAAACCAAAACATGGCTTCATCAATCAGTGAAATCCACAACAGTTAGTTTAAGCCATGTAGGAAGGTGTAGACTGCTGAATGGTTGGGGCCCTCGGGATGGTATAAACCGATGACCGGAGAAAATTGGTGATATGGCTCAAAATTGTTCTCAATGGCTGGTGCAGATGCATTCACTCTTTGTGATTTATAATATCCAATAAAAATCTACTGGTCTTCCATATTACTATTCTTTTTTGCCTCATATTTCTGTTTATTATCTCTCTTTTGAATCTTTCTTTACTCTCTTCTCTTGCTCAATGTGTTATATAGAGGGACAGTGGCAAATCGAACTGCTCGACATCTGTGCAAAGTTCTACGTTGAAACCAGCCACTGTTGCATTACACAATCATATGTATACTAATAACCTGAAATGCCTTAGGAAATATTAACTCTGTCTATATTTTTACTTTATTGTGATTCACTTTGCAATCCCACTGAAAATAAACTGAATTGACTCCTGCAACATCTCGAATATGAGATAGATTTGTACATCTGAATGTTTCACTCTTACTATACGTCCATTAATAGGTAAAATTTTCTTAGCTTGTGTAGAAGTAGTAATACAAGAAAGATAGATGGGCAAAAAAAGGAAACTTCTGGAGTACGTGATGATTGTGAAAGTAACTTTAAAATTGTTCCCGAAACTCGGATTATCTAAAACAAATTTAATCACTGAAAATATTCGTTCTCATTCTGCTTGCCTCCAGTCGTTTGAATGAATAAACAACACAC